TGTCGACTAGTTGCTTTCTCTCTAAGCAATCAGTTCAAAATCATCCATTGCTATTCGCAGATAGGTCCTGTGTAGCTTTGCTCGAAATTTCGAAACAAAAAACGTTTTTTTCTTTTTTTATCAGCTACTGATATTTTATATTTATGTTAACGTCCTTTGACGTCCTATTTTGTATCATTTATCCTGTTGTTTACATATATCGAATTTGATGTGATTATCCATACCTATACTCTTCAAGTACGCTTTGGTGAATGCTGCTATGCTTTGATAAGATCGTATTTTAGGTGAAACTGTATTTTGTTTAGATAATACTTCAAAAGATGCTATTTTTATATAATCTCCTGCTTAAAGTACTAGCTATCGCTACAATCAATTTGAATAATTTGATAGTATAAGTTAGAAATTAATAATCACATAAAACACTTACTTTTTTATTTCACTAATAATTAAGGCCTTTCACTCATATCGTCATTTATTCTACAAAAAGTAATCGTAAAATAAACTAATTACAGTAGTAAGTTATTCTTAAACGAGAGCTGTTGAAACGCTTATGTTACCTTACCATGAGATAACACAGAAAAAAAGAATCACTTCAATTATTGCAGTCCCTTTTATGCCTTTTTGACAGCCAAGTATCTTGAATATATTTATATTTGCACGGAAATCTTTGTATTTGAGAAACAACAACAACAAAAACGGTAATACAAAATTTGACGATATTTGACATATTTAATGTAAAAATTGTCTGTATTGTAAAAAAGGTTTGCTCTAAATGGTAGTTTGAAAAGAAATGTTGTATGTGGGAACGTGACTTTAGTTACCTCTTCAGTCATAGCCTAGCATTGATTTCCTCTCACAGTTTGTAATGATAAGCGTTTTTCGATTTAAAAAAATGGGTACTTTAGTGTGTTTTCTATACTTTTAAAAATAGCAGTCGCAAATAATTCTGAAATGTAAATAATCTCCCTTTTCAACGTATGTAAGTTGAATTACAGAATACATAAACTTTGCAAACAAGATAGTCCATACCTAAACACAAAGGTGTACTGTAACATATTAGAATTTCAAATAGCTTGAAATTGAGTTAACTGATAAATTTTAATTTAGTAGTTAAATTGTACTCTGGATTTAGTATTTAAATAAATGCCGATATATAGTCAGTTTGTAATATTTGCCAACACAGTTTTGTTACACAGTTTTCTTTTTTAACACAAATATGTTTTAATATACACACAACAGTACAATTTACAATAACAATCATTACAAATAGTTATTACAAACAATGATTTATAAACAAAAGTTTCACAAGCTTACAAACAATATAAAGTCTTCTTTCTATTTTGGAACTTCCTTGATATCTTATCGAGGGTTTACGATGAATGAGTTGAATACGAGTTGGCGTAGGTACAATTCACATAACGGGGAACTAGCTAGCTTTGTCCTTCATTATTCACCAGTCACGCGCGCTGAGTCTTCCGCGGTGAATTTCTATAACGTTTTCGTAAAAATACTAATGTCGAATGAGAATCCACTGACGTTAAATGATTTGTAATGTTCGAACTTTGTAAATTCTCCTGGTCAAATATCTTAAGTTTTCCAATTGATAAGTGTTATAACAATCACAGTTATAGCTTCCGAAGTTTTATAGCACACTGATTATAGCGAACTAACAATAGATACTCTCTTTGGTGCCGTCGCGTTGGTTATATTTATAGCCGTGTGGTGGCGTTCTAGAAAATTCAGATTACCTAACAATACAAATTTGTAGATTCTTTCTCTCGAGAATCTTCTACAACTTTGGAGAATAGGCGGGAGTTTCGCAATACATATCTAACACTATAAGCTATGCATGTTTTTAAACATAAACTCAATCCAAACAAACCTTGATATTAAAATAAATATATAACAACAAATTCGTTACAGTACATACACTAAAAACACATACTAAGAAGAACATCGATGAATATATCACAGTTTCTGCCACTAAACAATCCCTAAATACACCCTAAATACAGCAACCAAAATGTAGGATATAAGCTAACTAGTATTTTGGTATTTGTTTGCTTGTAAATAAGCACAAAGCTACACAATGGACTATCTTTTCTCTGCCACCACGGATATTTAAGCGCGGTTTCTCGTGTTGTAAGTCCGCAGACATGCCGCTGTGCCACTGGGGAGCTCAATTAAACCTTAGTAATAGTTAAACAAATAGCTTTTAGATGTGAAGACTAGATGACTTATGAATGGTAGAGTCATAAAGGTAATGTTTCAGAGAGGTAGTGTACTTTCACGACTTATTTTCTTATGTCTACTTGGCTAATTAAACAGTAAAATGTTTAAGATGAAGAAAATTTTGTTTGGTATAACCACCCAGTTTCCCTAAGCTAAAGGTTAATAACCTGTAGTGACCACTTAATGAAAAAGAATCGCTGATCCTTTAGAAATTTCAGGCTTCTCTTAACAATCTAAGTAAAGTATTATATTTTTTAAAAAATCTATCTGTTCTCTTTCCTCTAATGAACCACGCAAGTAAATATTATTGGGTTTCCTCTAAAGAATCAAAGTTAATTGCTTTATTCCGAAAAACAAAATCAAAAGTTTTATGAAGTACTTGCACATGTTACCTTTGATTTAAAAATTAATAAAAAGGAAGGTTATATAAAATTTTATATCCATCTTTGATAAAACTGAAAACGACAGTCACATCCGTTTTAAATTTAAAAATAATCCGTCTTCCAGATTCTCTTTAAATCCGTTTCCAATCGTTTCTCTCGATGTCTAATGATAGTCAGTAATAAACAAATGTATAAGAACTATGAATTGAAAGCGTTACCCCCATTAAACAAGAATACAAGCTAATTACCCGTGAAGGACATTTTCCAAAGCTTTTGCCAATTGCTTTTTTTAAGCAATTTTAACATCTTTTAATACCATGGTGTAGTACTAATTTGGCGATATATTGTGTGTTTTATGTATTTTTCTAAACTTTTTAATGCGCCTCAGTTCAGATTTATTAAACATTTTTACATTCCACTCGGTATTATTGGATGTGCTAAATTGGCACACGCTTGCACAGTGAATGGTTTAAAAAAAAACAGTTATGTAATACTTGAATGCAGTGTCTTTAATACTCCTATCCCTTCCTTTTCGCCTGTGTTATTTACTAAAACCAGAGCTAAATATAAGGTATATATGAGTATATAAGGTATGGATATAAGTTACTGTTGTTTCTGTATTTTCCAATAGTATTTGGTTTACCCACCGTTCCGTAGCGCTGTGTTGGTTCCTGGGATATTCAATTAATTTTTTTTCTTAAATTATATTGAATATACTATTCAAGTAGTCTATGCTTTGTTTTCGGTATGTTGAAGAATGTACTTGCAATTGGCTTACACTTAGAGTGTTTCAACAAAATGCTCTAAGATAATTAGTTTTCAGTAAAATCCTTCATGCTTAGGGACAGAGAAGGTGAGAAACAGACAGTAAGAATTATTATTGAAAACAACCAATTGCACTATTCAAGTATATCGTTTGCTCATTTTTCTTTAAAGAATGTTTTCCTATATCATCCGCTGAAATGTGATTCATTTGGTTTTGGCTTGCTACAAAAAGTGTGTGTGTATAAGTTAACACGTTTTCAAGAATTTCTAATAAAATAAATATTAGCTTAGCCAATTGAATAGATACATGAACTTATAAAAAATATGGTGATGAAACTTTTGATTCTGTACTCATTACAATTCGTTGTACTTCGTAACATGCCACAGAAGAGTTCATTCAAATTACGTCCAATATTCGTTTTATTTCCACAAAATGCTATGAAAGAAATTTCAATTTATTTAACAATTGACGGAGTTCATCAACTTTTATAAATTATTTTGAGACGTTCGCAAAAGAAGTATTATTAAAGTTTCAGTTATCTTGAAGTTGATGTTTATATAGATGTTTATATATATATATAATCATATAAGTGTCAATCCCACATACACTAACAGAAAATTCGGATCAAAGATTTAGTAGTTTACTGAAAGTTATTTTCCAGTTTTGGATCTTAACCTCACACACAATGTTTGAAATTCGAACAAAAGCTTACCTAAGAGAGAGCAGTTGTCGTAGACAATATACTTTGGTATATTATATTGTTCACCTGAAAAATAATAAGATTTTTAGCTTTTCATTTTAATATATTTTACAAGAAATTCCAACGTGCCAGCTCTTATGTGGTTTGGAGTTAATCAGAATCCAAAAGATGTAAATAGTCAGATGGAAGATTCCAAAAAGTTCCTATACAACAGTAATTATTTATTGCAATAATGCTCTTTCACAATGAAAAATATCAGCTCCTTTTGTATATTTCCATTGAACATTGATAATTAGTCTAACTGAGAAATAGATTCATGAGTTAAAATCAATCAGAATATTGATACCACAAAAGGGTATACAATCACTGCTAAACTTTTATTAGATTCATGAGATAAAATCCGTTAGGATATTGATACCATAAGTGGGTAAACTCATTGCTAAACGTTTACTATATCCATAAGATAAAATCTATCAGAATATTACTACCACAAAAGGGTATAAAGTCAATGTTACACTTTTATATAATCATGAGGTAAAATCCGTCAGGATACTGATACCACAAACGTTTACAATCACTGCTAAACTTTTATTAGATTTATGAGATAAAATCCGTCAGAATATTGTTACCACATAAGGGTATACAATCACCGCTAAACTTTTATTAGGTTCATGAGATAAAATTTGTCAGAATATTTTTACCACAAAAGCGTCCACAGTCACTGCTAGAGAATTATTGCTGTTGAGTTAATTCTATCATGATAACTATAAAATAATTTTCATGAAAGTGTTCTATATAATCAGTTGTTCTTCTCGATTTCTCATACAAACAACAGATGAATTAATTTCCAAATTAAATTTTAATTTTATTTTTTAAGAAAAATTGTTCTTCTGTTTCTTTTTATTTTTTTATCTTTTAGGGCATTGTAATGACCTGCCAAGATTTTCTGAGCCTATTCCGAACGTCACAGTTCCTGTTGGTCGCGATATTGAGTTTCCGTGTATTGTGGAAAACCTTGGAAACTACAGAGTAAGTTTGAGAATAGAAACCACGATGAAAAATTCCATAAAGAATTTTCGAATGAATCGTTCATCTTATGTAGCAACTGAATATAAACAGTACACTAGATATGAAATCTCATTTTAAATGTAAATGTTCTAATGTTTAATAATAGTAAAATATTAAGGAAGTTGTATCATCTATATAACATCCTAATCAACATAAAGTATTTATTAATAGAATAATAGGCATTTTTTTGCATATTGATATGCTATTATTAAACATGATTTTATTCAGTTAACTAATTTTTTTCCGTACAGCAGATCTCTATGTTATCAGTTTCATTTAACCCTCGTTATAAACACTTTTTCCAAACTATTTATGCATCGAAATGCTTGTATGTCCTGAATTTGTTACAGAGTCCCTAAAATATTGAGTCACACAATAATGCAATTATTCCCACTAGCTATTGCTGGGTCCTCGATAAATGTGACATCGAAATTGAGTAATTTCACCCATGGTCAGCTATTTTCACTGAGTGTCGGAACTTTTAATGGTAACGGTTCTCACCAAGAGTGTATTCAATATCAACTTGTGAATTTATACATTCAGGTTATTATTATTATTATTATTCTATTATTTTTACTAACTTGATGATATAATAAAAGTAGAACAAAGGTTCGCAGATATAAAAATTGTAAAGCTGTAAACAGTAAAATAAATTATATATATAAATATATTCAGACATTTCTTCATGTCTTCATACCATTTGTCTGTTTAATCTTAACCTCATATCTAATCCGTCAAGCAAAAGCAAAATGGAGCTTTTCGATTTTATATAAAAAATTCATTTTCGTATAAAGACAGCATTAGAAAAGGTTAACTCGAATACCGATTCTTTAAGCTGTTGCTCCTATGTCACTCTAGTTTCATACTTAATCCATATTCTGGTTGAGCATGAAATTAGGCATTTTTTAGTCATTTATATGAAGAGGATTTGAATCTTACTTTTAAGTTATTTTTTCGTCGCCTTCATACATGTAAATTGAAATATGTAAAGTTTTCAAGTTTACCAAAATATAATTCTGTTATACTTTTATATATTTCTAAAAGTTATATCTTTTGTATAAGTTTGCTTACAGCACAATAAATGTAAAAATATATTTAAATTGATTGATTAATCAAGAAATGTGAATTTAGGTTAATTATGATACATATACTTAATATTTTACTAACTATTTATCTGCTCCCCAGTGCCACAGCGGTACGTCTGCGGACTTACAACGCTAGAATTTGGGTTTCGATACCCGTGGTGGGCTGAGCACACATAGACCATTGTGTAGCTTTATGCTTAATGACAAACAAACTCTTTATCGTAAATTACGTCTTTAAATGAGTACCAAAGTCATTTTTAGAATAAGTTATTTAAAAGCTAAAAGATGCTTGTAATCAGAAATGTTATCAAGCGGTGAATAAAAAGGCACATTGTGATTATTAACCGAACAGTAATTAAAATTTAATGTTTTAGAGAAATCAGTTTAAAAAGAACTTATAATCTAGTGTGTTTTAGGTTTATCAAAAAGAAAAAGATTGAAATACCTGTTCTGATACCTACTGAATTTCTGTATGACCAATGGAATACTTGATTAGAAAAGAGAATAGCATTTTGATTCCTCAAACAAGAGAAATTAACAAACCCTCGCTTAATCCCTGACTTACAAACTACAGCATTGGCTATTTATCATTTTGCTACAACTGAGTTCTTGTTAAATCGGTTTAGTCTAAACCCCTGCAGATGGAAATCGTTACTGTATACATTTTCACAGCGGATTATGATTACTCAGTTATTCCAACATACGAGCTGTAACACACAAATAGCTTATTGCAAAGCCTCTGATCCTGCCCGCCAGTGTAATCAGTCTAAGTATATCTCGTCTTCAGATTCTGTGCAAATAAGAAAAGTAAACTTTAATTAATTTAATTCTAGGAGCATCAAATAAACTTTTTTTTAAAAAAATTCAATTGCGTTACTAAATATTACTTCTGGCTAGGTATTTCGCAATAGCAGAAATTGCAAATAATAATTTATTAAACACCTATGCTTTAGCAAACATTTAGGATCAAAGCATGTTTATTCACAGAAAGCAATTCAGTTTTCTTTGTGTGTTTTTTTCTTGCTACTGGGTGGAATGTTTTACTTGAACTCTCTATTACTTTAGTCTGTCAGAAAAAAAATTACAAGTGAGCCATT